CTCCACCCACTGCTAATAACACCTCTCCCTTATTGCTCAGGATCTATGTACATGTACCGTGTAGTGCAAAATTTTCAAGGGCTGTAAATTTCATGGATTTGCAATTTTTGGAAGATTCATGAAAATTACTTTGGCGAAAATCAAATTATTTGGGCACAAGATGGCAGACGGTATAAATTTGTGAAAATTAAATCCACTCAATAGATTTTTAGGCAAATTTGCAAAATTTACAGCCCTCGAAAATTTTGCGCTATACAGTATAAAGTACACAAGAAACCAAAATAACTTTTTATTGTTCAATTTTAGTTCAAGTCATGACACTATTACTTTTAGCATCAGTGAATGATAATTAAAATGTATCATTGTTTGTTAGAAAAATAATGGTGTATACACAGTATACTGATCTACAGTGTATTACAATAAGTTTGTGTGTGAGTGTATTATTGGTTCTTTATGATTTAGCATCCCACCTCCATACAGTTCCATTATCACACACACCAATGATAGTCCTACACAGTAAAAACAATACAAATTTACAAAATTTTTGACCAATGAAAATTTTCTATTTAGTCAATGATGCATAGTCTATGGTAACCAGTGTGTGTGTGTGTGTGTGTGTGTGTGTGTATGTGTGTTTGTGTTGGTTTACTTGCTGTCGTTGCTGAAGGTGACTTGTCTCACGGCAGTGAAGCATTTAGCTGAAGAGAGTATCACTGATGGACGTCCCTTGATGACATCATTCTGTGTGGTGTCCCATATGTATATCTTACCAACCTGGTTACCAAGGGCTAGGTACGTAAAATAATAAATAGAATGGAAATTAATCAATGCCAAATTTATACACTGTAAATGCATGCTAGTATTACAATAATAATGTCATTGTCAGTTAATCATAGAGGAGGCATCTACAGCATTGTTACATAATGGGTTTCATGTTCCCATCATGGCAATACGTGAATATGATTTAGCCACACCCTAGCTTTTGCTTTGTTTATTTTAGCTATGAGACGAAAGGCTATCCCAACAGGACTTGTTCTAGTTGTTTTGACGTACCTAATTCTTTTCAGGACACACATTACTGTACATCCTGAGCAAGATAGAACTCTCTGCAAGGAAAATGAGATAATTTTGGAGAATTTGGCATGCCGTGGAGAAATAAAATCTTCAGGTGTAGTTTGTGTTGTTATTTGGCTCTTAGTTACATTAATTACAACGTCACTTATTTGGGATATCATTAAGAAAGGATTGGGTCGATCAGCTTTTAAGGACTTCCACAAGATTATTTCTCTACTCAGTATCATATCGTATGAGATATGGATGTTTGGCTATATTTATCACACCTATGTTACCAAATTTGACTATTATTTTACATCTCTTATATTCCTACCATTGGGGACTCTCTTGG